AGACAGTGGCTGTAGAAGGCACTAATGAAAGTCCCTCTGACCTGGAGATATGCCAACCCACAGAGGATGAGTGGTGTACCTTCCATCTCTGGCATAAACTCTTTCCTATTTCTCCTAACACTGCTAACAGTCTTCTTGTCTTCTCCTGTCACTGTTTTTCTTCCCTCTTTTACCCTTTCCGTCCAAAGGTCTCAAAAAGAAAAAAAGCTAAACCGAAAGTAACTAAATCAAACAAACGAAGAAATAACAACAACAAAACTAACAAGAGGATACAACATAACAAAGCACAGTCTCATGAAACACTTGTGAGATATAAATTAAAACCTCCTTATCGATAGATCAAATTTTCTATTGTGTTAATATTAGAAATGGGGTAAATCCTTAGCAGAGGTGGTAAAGACGATCACAATGCTTATTGACTAATGTAATGTTTAGAAAGAGTTCTCTGTATGTGAAAGCTTAGGAGTAGACAGTAGTTCTTGACATTTTCTGAGACCTCAGATGTTGATCAGTAAATATTAATTCTAAATTATTTATCCTTGGAAAGCATTACTAACATTTGCTGAAATATATTTTATATTTTCCTAGAAGGTATCACGTTTAACTTAATTTTTTTATGATAGAACATACTGAAGAGATGGGTTAGCTCAATGGTAAGAGAGCCACACTAATGAAAGCAACTAGCCATCCTAAAAGTAAACAGGTCAAGAAGGTCCTGGAGAGGTAGAATACATGAATATGTAAAATTCTATCACTGTGTCCATAAAAATAGTTCATGCGACAGCAACATTTTCTTCACCTGTGAAGTTTAGTTATTGATTTTTAGTGTACTGTATATCTTTTCTTTGAAAGGTTTAATAAGAGCAGCATGACAATAGCCATAGGTGCATTTATTTTCATTATGAAGACAACTGAGTGAGCAACTGTTCGGGGAGATGCACTAGACAGAGAGCTCCACTCTCACAAGAACAGATGTGACAGGAGCGTGTATGGCTGTGCATCTCTGGGACATAGGGTGCTTGTAACTGATCATCTTCACACTAACTAGTACAGTTTCAGTTCCTGGCATGTACAGAACACACTAAAAATGTAGCTGAAAGAAAATATAATGAATAAAACATTTACAAGAACCTCCAGAAATTGCAGGAAATTATCTGCATTCATTCTTTGGTAGCTTGTCTAGATTCCATTTGACTTTTTTGTCTATTGCCTATAATAGCACCTAGCTCACTCACTTATTTGTGAAATAAATGAATATATAAATGAAAAATATTTCATAGTTGGAAAATTAAAATCATTTATTCAATTTTGAACTGTCTGATGACAGTCTACTTATTTGTATAAATATTTGTGAGATAGGATAATTCCACATGAGTACAAACAAGTTTTAAATGAAAAAGACACTTCTTTTTCTCTTTCCCATACTTCCAGGTTAAATCTTGTGCCACAGCAACTGGTTAGTAAGTGGGTTTGAAACAAGGAAATCAAGCAAACAGGCTAGGAAAAAAAAAAAAGGTGATTTATTTTGTTTTTACCTTCTATTAGCAAGTGTTATCAATGCATTCTTGGTGAGAATGTAAACTAGCACAAACATTACACAAATCAGTATGGAGAACCTAAATGAGAAACTCCATATGACCCAGCCATTCCTCTGCTAGGCATCTTCCCCAAAGAGCTAAACACATCACACTACAATGATACATGCGGACCAATGATTATAGCAGCACAATTCATAAAAGCTAAATCCCAGAAGCAGCCTATATTCCCATCAGCAGATGACTGGATAAAGAAAATGTGGTATCTATAATTAATACAGCCAAGCATGGTGGTGCACCCCTATAATCCCAGCACTCAGGAGGTAGCAGCAGGAGAATCGCTGCCAGTTCAAGGTCAGTCTGGGCTACACAGTGAGTTCAGGGCCAGCCTGAATTGCAAAGCGAGACCCTGTCTCAAAAAACCAAAAAAAAAAAATTATTATTATTATGATTAAAGGAATACTACTACTGTGCTATAAAGAAGGAAAAATCTGAGACATTTATAGGAAAGTGCACGCACCCGGACAGGGTGGAAAACATAATTTTGAGTGAAATAAATCAGACACACAAGTTTAAATATTGTATAGTACCACTCATTTGAGTAAAGAAAAGTGCAGACAAAGAGCACAATAAAGGGTGGACAGAAAGAGACAGGGGGATAGAGCTCTTATAAATAAGAAGGGGTCCAGGAAGCTGAAGGTGAGAGGAGATGGGAAGGGGGGTGGGAAGTTAATTGGATAAAGATATGCCATGTACAGGAGCCTAATAAATGAATTAAACATAACATAAACATGAGATTAGATTAATAATATCAATAAGAACGAAATGGGGAAAGGAGATTCAGAGGAGGAGGGAGGGAGGTGAGAGGGAAGAGGATTAAAAAAAGAACCAAGCTGTACTATATACGTGTACCCACTCTCCAAGATGATTGTAAACTGCATTTACTGCAAGCACGTATTTAAAAAAAAGAAGAGAAAAAGAAAAATTGGATTACAGCGTACTTGAGAAGTTATACTGTTAACTTGACTCAATATATTTTGTAAACAAATTAATATCTCTAATAACCATTGAGGCTTTATAAAAAGCAGAAATTCAAAATGTAGAATCTTTATTTCATATCTTATGAAAATACTATAGGAACTAAAAAATACCATGCATAGAAAATGTAAAATAGGGTAAAATTTTAGGGAAAGTCATAATCTTTAAAAGGGTTAGTATGTAAACAATGAAAAATATTTTTCTTTGGAAAGTAATTCACATTAGAAACCAACAGAGAGATTTTACTTCTGCTTATCAAAAAATTAAAATGAAATAATTTGCAAAGTCTCTGAAACAAAATGCAAAGTGCATACATGTAAAAAATAAAGAATATGATTAGATTAATAATTTATTTATATATTGATATTTTCCATAGTTGGATTTAACATGATGATCTATTTAAATTTACCTGGCTCAGTACTTTAGAGCTAATTAATCATTGTGAAGAGATATCTACAAGGTAAAAGACAAATAATTTCACAACAGTATTTCATACAGACTTTGAATTTTCATGCTTTAACTATAAACATGTGTCCCCTTAGTACTACATTAAAACACTTACTATGCATAGAATAAATTAACAATTTCTTGTATGCTGATGAGGAAAAGCTTCAAAATGGAACTGAGGTTGCATGGAATTGGCTAAATGTCTTAGAATGCATTTAGTTTTAAATATTAGTCATATCATTTTTTAGATATGCACCTATAAAATAATCACCTGTACTTCCCACAGTGTAGAATTTTTGGTCTGTTTGCTGTACTACTTGTAAACAAGTCGAAACAATTCTTTGACCAAGTTTCCACATTGCCTTTGGTGAATCCAATCTAATGCACGCACTTCAGGTAAGTTGAGGAACTACATCTAAATATAGGCCATATCTAAGCTCTTACTCCTCAGTAAGAAAGCAGAGAAAAGTTAGGCAAATCAAAGAAATGGGGCTGCGGGCCTGACTGGTCATAGGCAGATGGTGCCAGAAGAGTAGCACAAAGAAGCTATGAAAGTATGATTACTCAGGTGGTAGCTTAAAACAAAAACAAAAGGAAAGCAAAGCAACTGGATTTGGCCATGCCCATAATGACCACTAATTGAGTGATCAATATGACCTGCTAATTTTTAAAATATTATCAGAACTCCACATTTCTGAAATACATTGCATGGTGCATCATGGACACTCGTTACAACTGGTTCTGATCTATTATCATTTTATTTTTAGGTTTCAAAGGCAGTTTCTTCCCAACTTACTCTGTTTCCATAGGTTGAGCAATTCAATTGCCCCTTTTAAATGAAATAACTTGCTGCTTCTACATACTAAAATTTAGTAACTAGAGATCACTTTCCTATTCTATTGTTTTTTAACCCTAGAGAATATGATATCTTTCAGCTTCAAATTATCAATAATCTTGCAGTACATCCAATTTCATTTTCTAATTTATTAATAAAAACATCAAACATTATGATCGAGAATAATTTATTACAGGATTGTATTAAACACCTTAACTTGAAATGGAAACATGTCTTGACTTTACTTGGCCATGTTGTTGTCTAATTTGGAACAGAAGTTATATAATCCAATATTCTTTACTTTTTTCCCTAAAAATTATATCATATTCAATATCTACACAAGATAAATAAATATTAAATAAATATTATACAAGATAATCTATATAATAACTCATGAATGGATTCTTTGCAAATTACCACATTTAAAATGGAAAAAACAAAGAAACAAATAGGTAAGGAGAAAAATGCTAAAATAAAATAAAATGGAGAAGAGAAATTCACTACAGGGTGGTTTATGGTTTCCACAACCAGCTATTATATGCCTGTCCTTTGAGACTTAATTTCTAATTCTTAAGAGATGTTGAAACAGCAATCTGTAATAAGATTCTACACTGGCATACAAACACATGCATACATGTGGGATTTTGAACAATCATACTAAACCTATGAGGACAATTAATGTTTGGCATAAAAATAATAAAAGCTTAATATTTTGCTTTCAAGTAGAAGAACTGCCCTACTCCATATGTGAGAGGAACACATCTAACATGAATTTTTCTAACCATTCTTTTTAATATATAAAGCACTTTATAGACAATATTTCTTTTGTTTCTCTCTCATAAGGCCCAGATTATAGTTAATATCTCATGACACCAAAAGTAATACTGCAACAGATATTAAAGCATTTTTTCAGCCACTTATTCTATAAAATATTAATTGTAAGCTTGTGCATGTACTGTATGTACAGGGGATTAGGTATCTGAGTTCCTGCTCAGCTCTAAATCAATAAAAGATAACATGCAGAGCATCAATCATCATTCTCTCTTCCTTTAGCACATAATAACTTTGAGTGGAAGATTTTAAAAATATATATTTAAGCACTCACAAAAATATTACCAGCCAGGGAAGCTGAGAGCAATACTCACCTAGGAAGGACAGGTTTTTCTCCAGAAGCAAGTCTCTTAGCAAGACTTCATGCTCATGACCAATGGCACTGGGAAGTTTAGTTAAGGAAGGCAACATAGGCAGTATTGCATCATCAGGAAAATGCTAATACCGGATCCACACTTGGAGAAGAAATGGAGCACTGAGGTAGGTACTACGACCTGCGGCCCACAGGTCTGAGGAATGACATTTCAAAATACTTTCCTCCTCTCATTTAAACATTGCGAGGTGATTTTCTATAATGCTTATATATTCTGGCAAACAAAAATTTATAAATGGGTGTGATTTCAACTTCTTTTAAAAAGAGGGGGAGACATTTTCAAACAACCATTAATCTGTGCTAAAAAATCTCTCAATTCAATCTAGTACACATTAATTAAGCACTTACCTTATAGCTAAGAATACTAACCAGGTTTGCCCTGGAAGAATTTCCAGTCTTACAGAGTTCTGCAAATCTGTGAATTGACACTTGTCACTGAGCCAGCATGTAGCAGCTCCTCTGTTCCACTTCCCAACTATTGTTAGTGATCCTCTGTGACTTGAGAGGCCAAACAACCAACCGACTTGAGAGTGTAAGTAATCCGAAACAAAGACATTTTATAGATAACTAATCCTGGGAGACAGTGTGGGTACAGAGGGTGTTTAAGAGTCTTTTACATATATGCAGATAAACAGATATACACAAAAATGAATAAATCATTTCAGTGCTTCCTAGGTGGCAGGCACTGTATCAAGTGATGTATGTATCTTATTTCATCCTTGCAATCATTATAAGCTTTATTTTGTATGTGAGAAAACTGAGACCTAGGAACCTGCACAAGGCCAGTTCTATGTGGTAAAGCTGAGAATGAGAATAAGCCTGCCTCTGACCTCCACAGAGCTTCTCAAAAAGCATTAAAATTATATAATAATTGATAATAACCATATGAAGCCTCTGTGCTAGGTACTTCAAGATATCATTTTATTTATTCTTCACAACAACCACCCTAAATAGATGCTATTACTAGTCCTATTTTTACAGTTAAAGAAAGTAAGGTTCAGAAAGGTGGAGCGAGTCGGAGTCCCACAGCTGGTAAATAATAAAATCAGGAACAGGACTTGGAAGTCTAGTCCACTTTCCAAAGGGATGAGACTGCACAAAGTCTAGGAAAAAGCATTATCCTATTCCAGCACTTTAATTCAGCCAATAGCTTTTGGTAATAATTCTCTGAATCATTACCTTCACCCTCCATTGCATTGAGAATGTCAACCTAGTTGCATCACTCCTTGGCTTACCAGAGACTATGATTTTGATCATGTACTGTGAGAGTTCAACTTAAATAAAACTTTTACACCACTTACAAACATCTTTCTTCTAGAGAATCATACTGTCCTTTATTAATACATAAATCCTGTAATTATAAGAGATGTAGTCATCTATGCCTTCCATCAAAACAAGTGGTAAGTCATCATTACTGCCTCTTTACTATTGTTTTCCTTCCTTTCCCAATGTATACTTCTGTGCTTTAATTTCTAATTGGAAATAAAGTTTTAAAACAGATACAAATTTTTAAATCACAAAATTTCACACATTTTCAGAGTCCAATAAGGACATTAGATGAATAACTCTCATGTTATCTCATGACTAGGGGCATCCCACATTTTAGAACTAAATTATTTACTTCTATTGCACATAAATGTGCCCTCACTTTTATTGTTGTGAATTATTTACATCCAAAATGTTGAATCATAAAACTGAGGTTACTGATGGCACAGAAATGAAACCCACAGCACTTGAAGCTTCCTGAATCATTATCTTTCCTTGCTTCTCTGCAGGCTCTTGTTTGAGAGCTGTACCCAGGACTCACACTTGAGAAAGCTGAAGTGGCTGGTTTCTCACTTTTTCCCTCAATGAGTATGAGCTGTGGTGGAAAAGGTGTGAGTGAGCATGGCTCTAAAAGAAAAGAAAAGCAGACACTAAAAGCAGGAGAAAGCCATGGCCATGTACATAGTCTTCGCCACTGTGCTTTGTGTGATATTTTATTAGTAAAGGACCAACTTGCTTTATTGTACTTAACCAAATGTCTACGTGTAACTTTCATAATGGAGTAAAAAGATTTCACACTATTCTATTTACCAAATGTGTGCTTTCTTAGAAAACGGTATGTTGTACTGAGAGTAAGCAATATAAATGTTACCAAATTATCAGAATGGTATATAAATGACATTTTCATTCATAGAAAACAATAATTTTTATTTAGTGTGAAATAAAATAATTCCTGTTGATTAGTTGAGGAAACATCACTGTAAATGTATTTACATTATATGAAACTGCAACAACTTCAATGCAACGATAAAAGTAGTTTTTCTATAAACTTCTCTGCCTCTTATTTTGCATGGTAAAAGCAGTCACCAATTTGAGATTTTTTTTGAAAGATATATCTCTTGATTATGCTTTATTTGACATATATAAAATGCAAGGGCTAGAAAATAAAGCTTATAAAAACAATTTTACTGGCAAGAATCATAATGGAACTGCAAAAATTATAATCTAGTCAATGACTGCAATTTATAGACATACACCATTATCTTTATCAATTGAAATCATGACTACATTAAATCCTACAGGCAATAACACAGCCAAAAAAAAGAAAAAAAAAAAATGAATGATGACAAAAAATGTAAGGAAAATACTCCAAACAGAATTTATAATGCTCCATAAGCAGAAACACTTAGACTTTGTCTATAAGAATACCTATTATTGATGTATGGCGGTGACCACGGGGCAAAACTTGTAAATAACCTCACAAGCCATTTTCTTCCCCAGCAATACAGCAATCTAGTTTCCCGTAAGCATCTCAACTATTACTGAAAAATAGCCTCCTGGCATTTACAAAGCAGTTGACTTCATACTTTAGTCCATGCATATATAATTAGATAGTTATATTTAAAATCAATATTCAATCCTTCAAAAGACATTATGCTTTTAAAACTTTAACTTTAAATTGATTTTTAACTATTTTATGTGCTTTAAAATTAACATGTAATTCAGCCTCAGATACTCTGAGATGGTGTTAGTTGTTATATGAATGTGCTAAACTTTATCACTGCAGAAACACGAAGTTGGCACTTCTACAATTTCTAATGCTATCATTAATTTTACATGAAGAGCAGAAGTATAGTTTTACTTTAGTTTAATAAAAAGGCAAGCTTGTGACAATACTGTTTTTTATTACTTTAGGCTAGGTAGAGGAATAGAGCTGGAGACTACAAAAAAGGCTGTATCATAGGTACTGAATGTTCTTGTGAGAGGGCTGTACTAGACTATTTTCAAATCTTAATTTTACTTAGGAAAGAAAGTAATTTCTATCAAACATTTTACTTACAATAAACCTTTATGAAACAAGGAGGAATATAAGCAAACACATACAAACACACATGTGTACAGACATTCGTATACACATTTAACTTGTAGGAGCTTCCAACAAAAACCCTGAGTGGTAATTCCTGGGTCACAGATGTCACAGTGCCAGCCATGCTAACAAAATCTATCCCAGAAAGGCCATGTTTATATTAAGAGATGCAACAATCATGGATTAAGATATATAGTATATCCATTAAAGTCACTAATAATCATTTAAATAATGTTTTAGTAAAGGATTATCAAAATCTTCACTATTACTACAATACTAAATTTATTGATTAGTAATGTCCTACTTCATGAAGTGGTTACCTTCCACCCAATCCTGTTTTAAGAAGTAAACATCGACTCTTTGGTAATTTCAATGGTTTTAATGAAGAACGACTGGGCATCTGTTTTCACAGACTTAAGTCCAGTCCCAAAGGAAAAATTATCATGGTTTCTCTGAAAATGTTTATTAGGTATCTAAATGACAGCTCAGATTGTAATCGGCATTTAAGCAACAAAAATCCACTGCCCTTTAAAATGTAATGGTCTCTGGCAGCATCTTAATCACATCATCCTTTAACTCCAGGCTCTAAATTTATTCCAAGAGACTCAACTGAATTTGGCTCATTTTAAATGGAACTCTGTTATATTTTTTTAAATATTCGCTGGAATGGTTAGATACATTACAAGACAGTAAGTTACCTGCCTAATGACTCTGTACCTTTAAACTCATTGAAAACCAAGCAATTTGAAATAAGCATGTGAGTGTGCAACTGCTGAACTGACATCTTCCTGCGGCCTATCTGATTTTTAAGCTGTAGGAAAGAATAGTCCGCAGTGACCCTCCAGGTGATAGAATGTAAAATAGAAGAGTATGAAATGTGTTTTGTGAAGCAGAACTTTATGTCAGGTTAAAGCTAGACACATCTCCTCCACTGAATCTAAGCTCGTCAATTGCGCACCTAAAATTTTATGGGGAAGGATACTGTTTGATGCAGTCCACCAGTGGTCCATAACAGCAGTCGTTCACAATGCACTGCAGACAAACAAGAGAAGGGGTCTGGGATGGGGTGGCTACAAAAATCATTCCAGTAAACATCCTAAAAGCAGTAATTACTTTTCTACCCCCACCCCCCCAAAAAAAGCTATCAAAAGGTTGTTCAGATTTAATCACAGAAAACAAAAATTGCATGCTTTTTATTTACTATAAAAGCAGGCTATTAAAAAGGTGAAATGCTCTTCTCACAAATATTGCATTGCCATTTATGGTGCACTCTGACCTCAGTGATAGTTTATGATGACAGTAATTAAATGAGGTCTAAAATCCTTTACTCTGCTAGGCAGATAACAGCACTGCCACTGAAAATAGACAGCTGTGATTAATACCTGATAGACCTGATTTGCTAGAACTCCATCTGGAATCTGAGAAGGGTCCCGTAGCATACTATTTATAACAGACTTGGAGGCTGTGGAAGAGAAGAGATAAACTATTAAGACAGTCAACATACTTTTAATGCAACATGAGAAATGACATATACCTACATACACACAAACCATGAAAACAAAAATATTACTGATACTAATCATTTTTCCATTTTTAATCTAAGAGAATCTTTTAATTAGACCATGTTGCCAAGTTTATAAACCACATTGCCAGATTTGATGATGACCTATTTTTTCCAAGGTAAATTAAGAAGTCTAGACCTAAAACATATGTCTTTTTGCAGATAAATTAGCTTTGGAAAAGCTCACTTGGAAAAAAAATCCTGCAAAAACAACCAGAAAAGAAAAATATTTACTTTGTGCAGGTAGGTATTTTATAACCAAGCATATGTATATGTACAGCTTAGTTAAAACAGGTCAGATTTAAAGACATCAATGATGTCAATAAAAATAACTCTCAACCATCTCTGAGTACTAAACCTTTCTAAAACAGTTCTCTTCAAATTCAATAAAATATTATGCCTATTCACAGGTGAGAAAATTAGGTAATACTGGCTAATTGGGGGAATCTTAAATTTAAAAAGTGTGCGCGCGTGTGTGTGTGCGCACACATGTGTGTACAGTTGTCTCTTAGTATCTGAAATCCATCAAGGATTGGTTCCAGGAGGCCTTCTGCACCCCCAACCCCCAACACTAAATTCCATAGATGCTCAAATCCTTTACATAAAATGGCATAGGACTTGCATATAATCCAAGCACAACCTTCCATACATTTTAAATAATCTCTAGATAACTAACAATAACTAATACACTGTAAATGCTGTATAAATAGTATTATTTAGGGAGTAATGACAAGAACAATCTGCACATGCTCAGTACAGATAAGACTTTTTTGTTCCATATTTCAACTCATGCTTTTAGACCCCAAGATATGGAGGTCTCACTGTGTGTGTGTGTGTGTGTTTGTGTGTGTGTGTTGGGATAATATGTATTTACTATGTACACAAGTTTTCCACCTAAAATATGCCTTGTCCACTTGCAAATTAAGCTGAAATCCCAGCGAGTGCTACAGAAGAATAAAGGCAGTAAGGGAGACATCTAGTGAAGGATGTTATACAGGTGACAACCTATGAAAAGTCCTGGACTCCCTTTTGTTCACCACTGGTATGTAGCAGCTCAGGGGGCCAAAGTTCCTCTTGAGGAATGGGAGGAATGCAGGTCTGTAAACTGAAGCTAAGTCAGGTATTACCTTGGAATTGATTCTGTCAAAGTCCTCCAGTGGAATCATTCCCAAGTATGAGCAAAATAGCTTAGAGTTGGACCCAGACAAGCACAAACTCAAATGCATATAGTGTAATTTAGTTACGAAAATGAACACAGATTCTGGATCTACATCATTCAAGTTGCAAGATGATTATTAATCTAACTTTTTTTATGTTCTTTATCAAGTTCAGTGATATAAGAACACTGACAGATATGATAAATGTTAGTAAATTCTGGGCAAGGAAATAAGGCAATTATACCTTATTCGCTTAAGCATAGTATTGAGTCTACAAAAAAAAAAGTTCAACTATTTTAATCATTGCCTAACGTTAGTCACACAACTGCATGTGTAAAGCAACAGTTACATATTTAACAGTCATTTGTAAATATGTGTTTATACTGAATATGGAGAAGGCATGTGGAAATCCAAAGAGAGGACCACCTAGCTTTCTTATCCAGCTCTGTCTCAACAATCAGCTTTGGAGCCCAATGAGATCACCTCAGCTGACTCAAGGGTTCCTGTGTAATTCTCCAGAGAAAACAACTACAAAGTTTAAACAATAGTAAGAAACCAGACTTATGCATTTGCCACATACAAACATAGGTGTGAACCATTATTTCTGTAAGGCATAATCAGGGATAAGTGGTACAAATATTGACAATATAAAGCAGCTAATCATCTTATAAAGGAATAGATTATGGCAGCAATATTATTAAAGAGATAATGATGTCCCTGGTAGCCTGCTTAGTTTCACAACCTAATTCAAAGGCCTGGCCAGGGGAAGGGGATCAAAGCACTTGTCACACACTTGGTCACATTCTCTGAGGACATTTAAGGGTCTCAAGGAAAAAGAAGCACCTTCCCCGCATGTACCTGGTCGTGGCTAAGGTCTTACACTGCAAACTCTCTTCCTTATGTGAGGAAAAGGGAACATATTAATGGTCCAGCAGTGTGACCCAAAGTGCTATTCTATGGAAAATTACCAATCTCATGCCAAATTATATGCAAATTCATCACTAAAATCATTAAACAAAGGCTCTCTTAAAAAAAGAAGTGGGACAATGCTCTAGGACATGAGAAAAGTGAGTCATTTATTTTGAGAGAAGAAAAGGAACTATCAAAAGAAGAATCTGATGACATAATTTCCCTTGCAATATAAATTTTAGAATAGTGTGCTTATCAAGATTAAGGATCATAACCAATAAATTTGTTAAAAAAATAGTTGGTACGCTTTGAATAGAACACTATTCAAAACAAAGGAAGTCAGTTGTTTTAAATGTAGTAAAAACTACATATTGAGTCCACTTCTTTTAAACCCAAAGAAATGTCTTTTCTCTTCTTGAAACCTGTCATTTTTCAGAGCAAGAGAGAAAGCACTAATGACAGTCAAGGCCTCTGGGGCAGACCTAGGGCGTGCCTGTTCTCCACAGGTGGGGCTTTCCACTCTGACTTTGTGAAGGACTGTTAGTATCTTAGTCCAGCCAGAAAGTGAGTATCATCTACTTCTATTCACATGTTCTGAAGTTTAGGAATCTCAGAATGATGATGTTGCTTTCACAGTTTACTCCTGCCACTGCTCCTACTGACCAAATTCTCATTTATACCAAGCAAGTACACAGCAAGAATGCCGTCACTTGGAGCAAGGTCGAGGAATAGGAGAGAACTGTTATCTTTGAACACAAGCTGCTATGGACAGGCAACAGGCAATGGCTGGGCTAAGATATGATGCCTAAGACTATGCTCATTTCATTGTAAAATTTTCTTAAGATTAAAAAAAACTCCTAAGTTTAATGCAATAAACATCTAAATACCAACTAACCTGATTTAACTTGTGCATCTGCATCTGGAATAAATTTACCTTAGATGATCTAATATTAACTTGTATAAACTTTCTTCTTTATGTCTTGTTAGAGGTTAATTTTAAAATAGGATTTTTAAAGAAACCAAAATTTATCACTGTTGATCCTTTCTACTGAGCTATTTCTTCTAATTATGTTTCATTTATCTTTTTTCATCATCATATCCTGCTGTTTTACTTGGAGTTGGCCATACTATATTTTACTACCTTACCATTTTTATAAAATTCATTTTCAAGGGCTGAGGCTGTAGCTCAGTGGTACAGCACATGTGTGGCATGTGTGAGGTCCTGGGTTTAATCTGCACATCAAAAACATTCATTTCAATTTTTTAATATATACATTTTTTTAAGGTGGAAAGGTTTATTTAGCTCATAGTTTATAGAGGTTTCAGTTCATAGCTGTCTGACTCCAAGGCAGGGTGGCATGCTAGAGGGGCATCACTGAGGAGAAATGTTTATGGCAGGCAGAAGATAGCAAAAGCAAGCAAACTACCAGTGACAAGTGACAAGACACTTTTTGTCCCTTATATCTTATTCAGGCTAACTACTCTAAGGGCAGACAGCACTTACATTCTTTTTTTCTTTTAAATTTTATTTTATTGGCACATTTCAGATATACAATATAAGGACATTCATCCTTGGAAATTCGCACCTTTACATAATCTCTACTGGTTCTTAGTTTTTCCCCCTTCCCATATCCTTCCTTCAACCCCTCCATCCCTCCCTATTTACAAAGACTGTTTCCAGTTTTCATTTTCTCATATTAATTCCGTTCGTTTCTTTCCTTTTGTCTATCCCTTCCACTTCCCCTTTCCCTTTGCCCCGTTTCTTCCTATTTCACATTATCGGTTACACCTTTTACTCATTTACACTTTCAGTTTCTCACACTAGACACACTACTCAGTATTTGTACATGTGTGTCCTATTTATTTCACTTAAGAGTATTGCCTCAATGTACGTGCATTTAGCAATAAATGTCTCTACTTTCTCATTTTTATGGCTGCGTAGTACTCCATTTTATTTTTTAAAAACCACATTTTCTTTATCCAGTATCCAGTTGATGGACATTTGAGCTGTTTCCAAGTTTTAGCTATTACAAACTGTGCTGCTATGAACATGGGTGCACATATATCACTGTGGTATGATTCTTTTA